TAAAAACAAATGCGAGATAACCTTAAGGTTTTTGTCATGTGATAAGCATCTCTGACAAGAAACAAATGCTAATGTTGGCAAACAAAGTGCTGAATTACTAACAACCTCACAGTGTTTATTTTAGATCAGTTTCTACCAGGTTTTAGTGCAACAGTCATTTGTATAACAGCCACTGACACTATTTAAATAGTTGTTAACCATTGATTGGGCATTTTTAGATCTATTAAGTATTAAAGAAAAACTATAACTTCATTAGTGGCTCTCTGAACTGTTAATTTAACTGCTCAGATATGCCGATTAAATAAAGTCAGGACAGTTCAAACAATTTAGTCATTCCTTATAGCAGTTTTTGATAAGCAGTAACTTATTTAATTACACTTCTAAAACATTTATAAATCCAAAAACATGATTTTCCCTCTGCAGTAAAGATACTGTTCCAAATTCATCTACATTTGGAGTTAAGAAAAAACTACAATTACTGCAATTTGCTAAATTAATTCTGTAGTGGTTATGATGCATGTAAACATATATTAGATAACGCCAACTTATAACTTGTTTTATAACTCATTTGTAAATCTCTTGAAATGTGAATATTTTCTACTGCTATCCACATTCTTGCTCTTATTTTTCTCCTTACTTCTCCTAATCTGCACCTTTTTTATCTCCTTTACTTACTGATCACATCCGTCAACCCCTCAAAGACCAAATTCATGCCTGAAGGCAAAATGCTTACTTAAAAACTGATTTACTAGCTTAAGCAAAGGTATAGACTGTATATCTCTGATCCGTGTGAAGTGGCACACTTGCTAACAGTAAAATCTGAAAACATGAGGACAGAGAACTAGACAGACACATTTGCAGACAAGGGAACTGACAGAGTTGCAAGTTGGTGGGCTTTGCTGCTGAAGAGCAGACAAAATGGCTGCAGATTGTTGGAGAGGAGAAATTTGAGACATTCAGCTGATAGGCTAACCCTGAGTGACTTCCAATAAGTAGAGCAGAATAAGCCAGAAAGCAGATGACAGGTGACGGATGGGCTGACAGATGAGTTGACTTAGCAGCAGAAGTGTAAGGTGTGTGTGCGTGCGCTCATCGACACATAAGTATGCTAACAGTGGATATGGAGCCAGGAGGGGCAGAAGAAGACATCCGAAACATGATGGGCATGTGGTTAGACACTTTCTCCAGCTGACCACCCAGATTGACTCACACAGGCGTCAGCATAGAGACCTCCAAAAAGTACTTATGTACAAATCTGTTTCATTTAGTCTTCTTCATGCAGAGATTAACATTGTATTTCCGGGCTAAAGCCAACTGGTCGGTTACAGGGTTCTGTGTAATTGACTTCGACTTTGATATGCATTGAAAAGAAAAGCCTCTGTCTCATTTTGAATTGTTAATTTTTAAGTGTGAGGGGTATAAATGTAATTGACCACCCCCAAAGTTGTGCATACGTTTTTCCAGTTGCAAATTCTGTGCTTTTAAAAAGATCCCTTTGAGTTAATCCTGCATAGCACCACTTTATAAATCCGTTACAATATTTTGGGATATGTTTTTACCGGCTAGGCAGAGATATTTAGGTAATTGTTTGCTGATCTCTCTCTTCATGAAATAGGTCTAGCGCTTTCAGTTTGGATGGATAGAGTCTGTAAACATTATTTCTTTAAATCGCATCATGCCACATTCTGAATTAGATCTATGTCTGAACTTTGGCAGGACCCTTATAACCTGCAAATGTTCTTTGAATTTAAATCCCTCCACATAAGTTGTATGTTTAAAGAGTAATTAAGCTCTAAATTATCTTTTTTTTTTTGCAGATAAATGCCCTCAGTAGATTAAAACATGACTACAGCGTTTGAACAATGCTATAGGTTAAAACTGCAATGCTGTACAAGTAGGTACACAAAACTTGATTAACTAAAGAACGCCTGGGGAACTAAACAGAAACGAATGGCTGGGTTAACCATTACTTACCGGGAAACTTCCAGTACTGCCTTATTATGGGAATACTGCTTAGTTACCTGTGAAGCACAGAGTAAACTAAGGATGGTCTAATGGGTAGTTTCACTTTACGTAAAGGAACACAAAAACATTAGTTATTAGTCAGGTAGTGATCAAGTTGTAAATAATTATTCAGTAAGTACTTGATATGATATTTTACTTTACATTAGGGGCAATTAAAATGTCCTCAGTAACTACTTGATGCGTGACTCAACTGAGTCCAAAAATAATAGCTGGGCAATAATTTGGATCTCAGTAAAGTAGTTTTTCGTAATGTTTGACTTCACATGTTTATTCAGAACCAAAACAGTTTCTGCTCTCATTTTGTGAAAAACAACCAGTTGTCCTCTTAAAAGTACTGTTTAACTACCCATCAGTTCCAGAATACTTACTCCATTCTTCCCAGTTAATAAATCAGTAGTCCCATAGTAAGGCTGGACTGGGTGTTCCCCACTTTGTATTAGAATCTTATCATTTCTCTTGGTGTTCTCTACTAGTTCATTAAATTTCATGTGCCTTGTTGTAAAGTGTTGCTGTTAAAACATTACATAATAGTACATGTCTGCATCACAGCCTGCGTTTTGGGAGAATTCTGCGTTTAGTTTACCTCAGAACATAGTAGTTAGAGTGACATAGACTCTTAAAGCTACTTTGCTCCAGTTTACTGATTGTGAAAATGTCTATTCTCTATTGCGCATAAACGCCTACTAGGGCCATTATAGGAACCATAAAAAGGACGAAAAGTAAAACAATCCTACACATTATTTTGAAATTAGATTACAAGTAGAAATCACTGTGAAAACATCTCAATCGAATATTTATATCCCAGTGGACAGTAAGGAGTTAGAATTGCAAACTTTTAGGGCAGCTTGATGACCTTTGTCTTTTTAGACACAATGTGCATATTTGGCTAATTTAATGACTTTCCAAGTAAGGGAAACTAAAGGCAAATGCACATGACACCTTTCAATTCATTTAAGAGTTAAAAAAGCAACAAAATTTGGACTTTAGGGGAAAAAATACTTTTCCAAGATCCAAAAAAAAGCTCAGAGTCTCAGGGGTATTATTTTTGGCTAAAACTTGAACAAACAGTTCAAGTTTTCTCCAAACAGTTTGAGTATTTTAATCATTTACACTGAAAAACAAGCACAGAGACGGTAGTGGCTGAATTTAAAAGAAGTAAATGAGACTGATGAGCAGATCCAGCAAGAATGAGAGAAATGCAGTTAAATGGAAGAGACAGAAAGATGGGGAGATAAAATCTAATACCTCATAATGTTTGCTATGTGCTGAGCACATGTTTGTGTACTTGCTTTCCACGGGGCACGAGACATTAATATCTATTTGCAAGTCTAGACTGGTTGACCGCCACTGAGCGTGTGAATGTGTGTCTTTGCAAGCGTTAACTGAGCTCTACCCCACTTAAAACTGTCACATGTCACTTATATTCTGTTGCTATGTGATCTTTGGCTTCACTGGGGTCTTGGCTCGTCAGGGTGGCTGCTGCCCGCCCCCCCTGTCCAGAGCAGACCTCTTCCAGCAGCTTTTCATGAATATTTCAGCCTACCAGTCAGCAGGCCGAAAACACAAGCACCATTAATATTTTCTGATTGTTGTTTTTATATAAAAATCCAATGAAAGGTACATCATAAGTGAAAAACAAACAGCAAACGCAGCATTCATGGTGCCAGCAGTAGGTTGATTATTTGCTTTATTGCAGGTGATTTTTCAGAGAGCGTTGGGGGTTCAAGTTAGTGTGGCGTCTTTGTGGTGGAGTCATGTAGGTCAATCCTGTGTGTTTCTCTGATTGCCTTTCATAAACTTGTCTTTTTTTAGATTTCAGTCGGATAGGAGTATTTGAAAATCAAAGTAAATGAACAAACTCTCTTTGAACTGTGTTCATGTAACTACCATCTCGTAAACTGTTCACTGAATCAGATCCCACTGATTAGCAAAACAGACGAATTTCACTAAAACACAAAGAGCTTGTTTTAGCACATAACAGTTTTAAGAATTATTTTAATCAAATCTTCATCAGAGGTTTTAAAGGTATAGTGGAGGGATGTTCTTTTTTCCAGGTGGATCGTCAAAATAAATGGTCCTTCTAATTGTCAATCATTCTGGTGATATGTTTACGTAAGGCCGTCGGACGTGCCCGTCCTCATTTTCACTTACCAGTGGTGATTCTGACATAGTGGACAAAGTCTTCTTTTGGAAAGTAAGCTTGTATGAGTGATGCAAACAGCAAGGGCTCCTGCATGCTCTCGCACGTGTTTAATAGGCGAGGGTGGGTTTTTCAAAAGTTTTCGAAAATCCTCCACTATAATTTGACATGATTAGAAACATTTATAGATGGATGGATATTTAAAGGTAACAGAACAATTAAATAGATCTGGAACAGTGTTGGGAAAACACAGAGGTATTAGGAATTGTGGCAGAGATTGGCAGATGAACATCAGGTTAGTCTGATGGATATTTAATGTGGGTAAAGTGAGAATTAGGTCAGAGCTCTGGGGACTGATAAATACCAAAGGATAAGTAAGAAAAGTTTGACAAATTACAACATGGCTAGGATTAAGAGAGCAAAAGTGACTTAAAGCAAGGCAGGTACAGATTACCAGAATAAAAGAGAACTAGGACCTTTAAAAAGCAGGAACATTTAAGACTAGTGGCCTTTTATTGTGGGCAGTATTGGCATACCTGTGCATTTATCATCGTGTCTAATGAGCATCTTGATATGGCACATCTGTCAGGTGGGAAAGAATATCTCAGCAAAGGAGCAGTGCTCACTATTACAGATTTAGACTGGTTTGTAAACTGTATTTGAGGGAAATTGTGATATTGTGTAAGTGGAAAAAGTTTTAAATCTTTGAGTTTATGTCATACAAAATGGGAGCAAAATCAAAACTGTTGCATTTATACGTTTGTTGAGTGTAAAACTATTAAAAGAATAATTAATACCCCTTAATGATCACAAAATCACTTATTCTCTTTTGTAGACGAGGGCCGATGGATCCCGCTGACTACCCAATGCAGCCATGGTCGGGTCATTACCCAGGACCTCCCCCAGCACAGCAGGGGTACCACGCTAACCAGTCGCCAACTTATGCCAACATCAACTCCCAGTCTGGTCCATCATTCTCCAGCTTCCAGCCTGGGCCGCCTTACCAACAGCAGAGAGACCCTCGAGGGATTGAACCTGGTTTCTACCCTCACCCTAGGTTTGTCTGTTTAAAGATGTTGCCTCACGTTCTGCACTTGGTGGCTTCATACAGATAGCATTGTCACTTTCAGCAATTGTTTATATAACACCTTCCTTTCTTATTGTTACCGCTAGATAAGCCATGGAAAGAGTGAAACATAAACTTCTCATTGTGAAAACACAACTTCACACAGAAACTGTTTTGAAAAATCCAACCTTTAATTAGTGGTTTATCTAGAGGAGAAAAATAATGTCCAGTTTAAAAAAGAAAGCATCACTGAAGCTTTTCTCGTCAGCCCTTTATCAAGAGGAATCTAAATACATTTTTAAAAAGAAAACCTTTGGTTAAATGGACAGGACTGAAGTGTTCTGGTGGAAAAAATCAAAAGACTGGAGGTGACATATTGAGGCTATTTCACCATTCTTCTTTGAACAATCTCTATGGATTATCTAGAGTCCTCCCTTCCCTTTTATGCTCTTCAGCTCCCTCCACAGGTTGCCTTTTATATTTCCTAGAGAGATCCATTTAAGTCTCTACTCTGTATGTTTGAAATGTGCTGTCAGTACAGTAAAAGCTCTTTAATAAAGTGCTTCCCAATGAATGGTCTCACAGATTTGTACTGTTATTCTAATCTGGCATAAGCCAGACTGATTCGAGTAGTTCAGTTTGAATTTTACACAGTATCCATCTGGGAAGGCTTCTGTGGAGGCTTCTGGATCCCCGCTCTTTTTCCTAATGTCTCTCTGTTGTCGCACAAACTTGCCCCCACTTCTTCACCGCTTTGGCCGTATCTAGACCCACAGCTAGTTAAAGACCACGCTTCAATATTGGGCATAAATCGGAAATATCTGCGTCAAGCTCACTGCGACACACTGCTGCAGGGAGTATAGCCAGCCCTTTAGTCTACTTTCAATCTCTTTTTACAAAGTTTGACCAAGTTTTGTTCTCAGCTCCCAGCAGAGAGGACCCCTGCGGCAGGACGTGCCTCCATCTCCTACCCCTCCACTGCGGGCGCCACGGTACGACTCTATGGCGCGTGGAACTGTGGGTGGAGGTTACAGGTAGGAGACCATTCGCAGATGATGACAGCTTCAGGTAAATCCGGCAAAGAAAGACCTTTCCAACTTACTACTGTCCTAAGGACAGTAACCCTGACTGAGAGTCTGTTTGGTTGGTTCCAGGCACCAAATGGATCAAAGCACCGACCAGTATGGCTATACTGGTAATATAGGAGGACAGCAGCATCAAACCAGTTCCAGATAGAGGATTCCTGTCACCACAACGTCCTCCATCTGAAACATGCAGACTTCACCAAACATGTTGCAGCTTTTTCTACTATTAATGCTGAATGAATCAAACAAGCAGCGTCATTCTGTCTGTGTGAAGGACAAAGATACCTGTTTGACTTTTAACAGTTTTCTGAATCACTCTAACAATGATGTTTTTTTTCTTTTTTTGTTTTGTTTTTTTGTGAAATTACATTTTAATCCTTTTTCCACCAATTTGATTCAGTTGTTTAAGGCTGTGAGTTAGTCAAAGGCACAAAGATAAGAAAAGACTTGTGCAGTCTTTCACACATTTTGGTCCCAGATGGTTTCAGGGCTTCTTAAAGTGACTCTAAAGGTTGGCGATGAAAACAAAAACAGGTCAACAAATGTTATCTGCATTACAGGACCACTAACAGAGAGAGATCCTCCTCTGTGTTAAGAGATTTGAGCATAAAACCACTTACGTTCTTTCCAATGTGACTGGAAGAATTTTATTAACTGTGAGTAGGATGCAGATTATGGAATATAGGCGATACAGTCGTGGCAAAAACTAAGTAAATCCATCATTTGTAGAATCTCAGTAGTTATATTTTGTCTGACCTTATCTGCCTCTGTGAGACGTTCTGGCCCAGTTTTCTCTACAACATGCCCTCGGTACATTGAGTTTTACTGGTATTTATTCAAGCTCATCTTTGAAGGTCCCAACAGAGCATTTTAATTCAGTTGCGGTCGGGAAGCCCATATCATCACACCTCCAATGCCGTGTTGGACAGTCATTTGTCCTGTTACAGATCATAAGATTAGACTTTGGAGCTTTTATTGCTATTTCTATGAGCATTTAAGGAAGTAATTAAAGGAGGACTAGCAGCTTCCCTTAATGTTTACCAGTAGTAAATATTTCCTCTAACTGTAGAAATATGGACTTTATTTTTAAACAAATAGCTCTTCCTAGATTGATTCAGAAAAAGCAAGAAACATTCAGCAGGTAAATATGATTATCACCACTGTGCTGTTTCCCTCTAATTCCTTTGGAGGTTTACTTATTGTTTCTCATGAATGTATTCAAGATTTCTATTGAGGCTGGAGTATTTTTTAAACTCTTGTGTGTTTGGGTGCTCTTAGATGAGTGATTTGCTTTGTTGACCAGTGAGTTATTTCCTTAAACTCAGCTTTTTCTTACCGTACTCTCTTAGATATTTTTTTTCTGAGTCCTGAAGTTACATCACAGTAAAGTAATGATAGGCCTTTAATAACATTGCACTTTCATCTTTAGCAATAATATTTCTGTCAGTCAAGATGAGTTTAATTACATTCCTAGCACAGAATTAGATAAGATCCAAATGGGAAACGTGATGGCTCCGGCTCCGCATTAGGTTTTGTAATATTTTTATATCAGATAAAATAGTAATAATTGGCTAAATCTAAAGTTTGACATTTGAATCAAACTCAGATCACATTAGATATTCTGGACTTAAACTTTATTTAAAATGACTCCTACTGGAGTCTATGATGAACTCTGGTATTAACTGTCAGTATCTCTGGTCCTGTATTTACAGTCTGGTGCTAAAACTGCTTTTCATTTCATTTTATACCAGCCTGTGGTCGTCTGTGTTCTGCAGGAGCCGCTGCATTAAGATCCAGCATCCATGTCTGTAGGAGGGAATGTTTTACAGAGCAGATTTTTACTGCAGACATGTTTCTGATCTGATTGTGTCGCCATCAGTGTACTTCTTATAGCATAGATGGAGTCAGTCTCTTAGTTAAACCAAACTGTTGATTTACTCGGTTAAGTCAAATAGTTTTGCTTCACACTACTGGAACTCAGCAGTATTAACTTCAATAGATACTAACTGTTTGTTATGTGTTAAAGAATCCCCTACAGGGACTGAGATACGGATCTCATTCGAATGTTCAGAGAAATTTACTATGAATAATTAAAAAGAATGTTTCTTACATTATTAGATTTATATTTTTTTATACATTTATGTAGGGTCTGTAGGATTTAGAATGAATAAAAATGAAAGACGAATGAAGGTTGGCAGAAAGTAAGTAGGAAAAGGAAGGTTTAGAGATATTGGTGGGATAAAAAATGAAGGAGTAAAAAAGGGAACCTTTCACTCAATCAGCTTTCTGTACTTCGGCTGTTTTATTTTCTTTTATTTTGTGCTAACAAAGGTAACCCTGGTAAGATAGCCTGTGGTAAAAAAAAAAAGCTATGATGTACAGATTATTTTTCTCATAATTCATATATGAAAGTGGTACCCAAAATGAAGAAACCAAAATAACAAATAATAGAAACATTCAGTTTACTGGTGAGTAAGGAGATAACTGGGTACAAAACTGGTTTGTGATTTGGTGAAAAAGGCGTTTTGACCTGGAATGTTTAAAAAGAGTGAATGAGGTGAAATGTTTAAAGTTTTATAAAGATGTTGAGAATGGCTTTTCGCAGAAGTGAGTCTGGATGTGGAGTTTTGGGGGAAACATTTTATTTTATTTTATTTTTTGTTCTTACATTTTAGAATAAAGTCTGAAAATCCAAAAGAAAATTCATCAGTATTTTCCGAATGAACAAATATATTTTTTATTATGTTTTTTTACTCTGAGAGGGAATCCATCAGTTTGTAATATTGCTTAGTGATGATAGCAACTACAGTTTCTTAAAACCAAAATGAAGTTCTTTCTGCAAGTTAACATTTTATGGTTTAACTTTCAGGTTAGAGAATCAAACTTTCCCTCTGTGGGTCTTAAACATCTGTAAAAGTGGTAGTTGTGAATTTGCTTTTATTACTCCCAGATTGGTAAGAGGTTAAACATAAAACCATGTAATAATGACGGAAGAAAAAAATTCTCTACATGTTTTTCATTGATTTGTGTAAAGTCACAATTTTTTCTTATTTCACATTTGTAGTTTCAATTTTCCAGTTTGTGGCTTGGAACCCATAAATAAAAGTTTGGCCTCTAAACCTGATGAAAACTCTGAACTTTTTGTAAATTTTCTTTGTAACGTCTTAATGAATGGATGTGCTTTAAGTAAGACCCAATTCTAAAATAAGGTATAAAACAACCCTTTAAAACCGAACTAAAAATCCACTACAGCTTCACGTTACTTTATGATCCACTGAACAGATAAAACTGCTTAAAAGCTCCTACGTTGAATGTGTCGTATTCAGATGTCCACAATGTTTCAAAAACTGTCATAAAAAAATCTAGAAATGTGTGAAAATTTGAATGAAGATGGGGTTTGAACCCAGTGTGAATAACTTCTGTTATATATTTTTTAAAGATAGCTCATTTTGTTCAAAGATGAGCAGCAAAAGCAAATATGAAGGTTTCATCATCTTCCTGAGGAACTTCAGTAGAATTTAATGTGATAATAAAGTGTATTTCACTTCTTCTTTTTATACTAATACACGTTTTACACGTATGTCACTCATCACAAGCAATTTATTTCTATGTTATATTTCATGTTTTGGATTTTAGCTGATTTAGTTTGAGTAATCTTTCCAATTTGCTGTAAAAACATGATGCGCTGCAAACTCTGTTCATGCTGTACTGAGTTTATACCAAAAGTTAGACGTACAGTGATTGCAACCAGAATTCCTCCATGTTTTTTTTAAACTTCCTGCTCTACTCTTGGAAAAATGTGTTGCACAAGTTGAAGGTACTATCTTTGGGTGTCCTCTTGGTTCTGGTAGCGCTGGTTCTCCAGGTGCATGAAGGAACCGACTGAATAACCTCTCTGTCTTAGAAGTATAACAGTTTTATTACACTGCTTGTATCTAAAACGTACTGAAGCAAATCCGATTCTATAATGTTGCATACCTTTCTGTATTATCAGCATTTTATATTTATGTGCATATCTTTTTTCAATAAAGTACTTTTTATACTTTATTAAAGACTTACGTCATCCTTTAAAGGAAAATAATCATTAACATTTGCCCTTTAAGCTGCACATATGCCCAGCACATCTACTGAAGCTAATTTAATATGAGTCAGGAGAAATCATTTCCCTTACGTCCCCCCATACGCTGCAAGGTGACTCATTAACTTTGCCAACCCAATTTAGTCCATCATTTAAGCTGCTGATAAACTGTACCTTTGTGATAAGAGATGGATGTTAGCCCCGAATTAACGAAAGACTAATTATCAATTAGAAACAGAAGATGGAGAACGCTGATTGTGGGAGAAAGTTTTTTAAATTTCCTGACATAATGTGAAACCATTAGGTCACATTCAGCTGTACGGGCATGTAGTCAGTTCACCTATAGTGAACAGCTTTAGGTCCTCTCTTATTTCTCATACACTAAAGGTGCTTTGGATGCAGTCCCAGGAGTTGGCAGTAATAAGACACAGCGGCGCAGCAAGCGTTTTATCTGCCAACACTTAATTAGCATATCCCACACCTCCCAGCCAATGGGGATACAGTGAGGAGGTAATTCAATTCTCCTGTGGATCAGCTACGGTCCAAGGTTCATCTACAGCTTGTGTGTGCACCATTTAGTGTTCTGATGGTAATTTTCTCAGGAACTCAGTGACTAATGGGGAAAAGTCTTGAGTCATTCTTTTATAGTCGTTTTTAATCCTTTTCTAGGGTTTTATGTTTTTGACATAATGGTAAAACTCACCTTTTTATTTATTTCTCACACAGTCGGACTTTCCTTCTGCTTCTTATGGAAGCAATAACGAATGAATAATGAAAAGAAAGCTAGAACATAACTGTGTTTTCAATTGTAGTTGTTAAGACAACATACTGTAATCTAATCACATTGTCTGCAGGTCAATTTTTAGCACAACAGCAGAAGTTAGAATTGGACACCAGATTCTTGTCAGCGTATCTGGAAACAACACAAAGAACCATACAGCATATTCATTCTTAATATGAAGAACAATATAGCAACCCTGAGTCTCCTCCTTATCACACTTTAGATCAACAACAGTGTCTTCATCAGAAGCGTCTCCAGAAGACGGACTACTACAGGAGATCCTTCCTGCCTACAGCAATTAATGTCTACAAGTCATTGAAGAAACTCCTGTAAGAGTTACCGTACATCTAGTTTCTCTCTAGCATCAATAAAGATTTGTTAAATTTGATATGAAATAGGGAGTAGCACCAACTAGTGGGCTAAGAAAATAATATATATAATATTGAACAAAATGTTGAATGCAGTCTTATGGGCTCAACACAGGGAAAGTCGATGTCCCTCACTCTGCATTCATTTCCTATGGAACTTGTGCAATGATGCGACAGTAGCTGCCCCCCCTTCAGCTAAGCATCCATTGAAATTTGCACTGGGATTGTGACACAACACAAGTTAAAAAATGTTTCCTCGCCCTTGCATGGCCTTAAACCAATCAGTGAGGGTTTTATTGACTGACCATGTAACAGAGGAAAGTTTGACACATAGGCACTTTTAGCATTAATGGAAAGTTATTTAGCTGTATCTAACTTTCCTATTTCTTAGGATTTTCATAAATTTTCTAAGTCTTGCTTTCTTTTCTGTCACAGACTGATTTGAAAATGTCAAAATCCCCCCAATTTCATTACTAATCATTTTGCTTTGAGACAAGTGACCTGAGAGTAGGATGCACAACCACTGCTGTCGCTGTTACCATGTTTGGTTTGAGGGAGGTGGGGATGACGGCCATCTGTCTCTGTCGTTTGTCTCTCTCCGTGCGTCCAGCTCTTTATAATCTCCAGTTATGTTATAACACAAGTACAAAGAATTATTTGATGCAGTAAGTAATGGAAATGAAAGTATAACTATAAAAACTTTATAAGGTTTGTAATTTTTTCAGTTTTTTACCTTTTCTATACATTTTTTAATTCTTCACTATTATGTTATTTTTATACACATTTGTGTTTCCTCATTGTGGGACAATAAAGGGATTTTCTATTCCATTCTAAATAATGTGCAGCAAAGACACTTTCAATGCCAATAAAATCCCTCACACGCCGATTGCAGTCTGAAATAAATATAGTCATTGCAATGTATTTACTCACCACGTCAAATCTCATTTTTAACCTTTAAGATTTTTTTCATTTTCTTCTACAATAGAAAATGTAATAATTGATGTTGTCTCCTTTATATAGGACTGGGTTGGAGCATCAGCAGTCTCAGCAGGGATTCCTTCAGTTCCTCTGTGGAAGCTGAAGGCATTACAGGGCTGGCTGAGAGACGTAGTCCCTCCAGGGTGTCCTGGGACGTCCCCTGGGCCTCATCCCAAGGGATGCGAGGAACACCTTCTGAGGGAGGCGTCCAGGAAGCATCTGAAACAATCCATCCACCTGAGCTGACTCCTCTCAATGTGAGGGAGATGGAGCTCTAATCTGAGCTCCACCCAGATGGCTGAGATCCTCATCCTATCTCTAAGGGAGTGTCCGGCCATCCTGCAGAGGAAGCTCATTTCAGCCGCTTGTATTTAGGATCTTAGTGTTTCCGCTGTGAGCTAGATTTCATTACCATGGGGTAGGGGTCGGAACATAGACCTACTAAATAGTTTTAACTTTTGGTTCAGCTCTCTCTCCAGGGCAGTGTCTGCATCATGGTGGCCACCATACTGATCCATCTCCCTCTCCATTCTCCCCTCACTCAGGAAAAGAAACCCAAGATACCTGAACTGCTCCACTTGGTGCTCAATTAATTCTCCCCTCCTTGTACCATCACCTTGACGATGATGGTTGTGTTATTGCTCGAATATATGGTTGGGCAAGAGATCCGAGGCTATTTCCCTTTGGGCCACCACCTGCAGGGGGAACCATGAGGGACAGATGCAAAGAGGATCAGACAGCAGTCAGAGGTGGCGGTCTCTACGACCTGATCCTTGACACATAAATGACTCTAGGTACCTGAATGTCCCTCACTGGGGGGAGGAGCCTGAGCACGTGCGTGAGGTTGGGTGATACTAGCTAGGAAAAGTCGAGGTCACCTGTATGCACAGCCTTGTAGGTGCAAATATAGTATAATTTCTACCAAAAAGGTTTGCACTTAAATATTAAAGTTCTACATTTTAAATGTAGGTTTTGACTGTAGAAAACTGTACGTTTCAAATAAAAAAAACTCATAAGAAATATAATTCCTGACTCATGGATGATGCATCTGTCAG